ATATATATAAATCAACAATACATATGTGTAATAATACTAAACCTTGGACATGGTATTGTATATATGTTGAAAGTGAAACTTCAAATGTCGTGTAATTTGCTATTTCTACTGTTTGGTGGTAAATTGCGTCGATGAATACACAAGTCTCTTACAAATTTACACTGATGCTACTGAGAGTATAGTGAAGTCGAGAATATAGTGAAGTCGATGCACCAACTGCACAATATGTAATGTGTTAATTATACGTTACAGATAGTATGTAGATACCCTTATTGTTCACACTTCCTTGATCAATAGGTTATTACGAGTACATCATTTATCATAGACATCGGGTCAAACTGCATAGTGCATGGCCATATCTGCCCGAGGGCCGAACACTGACTACAAAAATGATGGTACTGAATTTTACTGGACCCTGAAATTTAGATACTTCGAAGACATTGGCCAATCTTATCAGTTCAAGTACTTGTTGTCCTTTGGGACTACATATTTATTTAGAAAGGAGAACGGACAAGTCCATACATAGGACTTCACTCTCATACAGTCATACTGTGAACTGTCTGCTAAATGCTAATGAAACACGGCTGGGGCGCCGCAGAGACCAAAAACGTTTCTTCAAAGAGGGTAGCTAATAACTTATGAATATATCCGCACAGGGTGAGCTGAGGCCTGAGCTGAGGCCCCTTTCTCCCTCACTTTCACTCAAAACACACACAAGTACGCACTTTTGTTTAGGGTCACCCTAGCTCACGCATAAACACACTCACCCTGCCTTTTTTTATAAACCAACTTTTCTTTTCAGCCGTCAATAACGAACCCACAAAAGTATTCTATATTTTTTGAAAAAAATACATTTAGGATCTCTCGGAGGCCTTTTTGGGGCCTACAAATGGAAAAAAAGCGTTCCGGACAGAAAAGCGTTCCGGACAGATTTCACGTTCAATAAAAGAAATAGGGACTCTACAGCTATGTTTTCGGTGAAACTAAAAATAAATATATACATACAGTCATACCTCTTTATATGTCCACCCCTTTAAGGTGTCTACCTCTTTATATGTCCAATTTCTATTTTGGCCAACCCCCTATATATGAGTCAGGTCGTTTTAGACCGGTCCTGCAGCCTGCTCTTGGACGTCCGACTATTAAACTTTTTTAAATTTGTGTTGTTCATCATAGTGCTCCGGCCATCCGGTCACTGCGGTCAGACCGTCAGAGGGTCGGTGAGACTGCGAAAGGATGCACTACAACGCACCCAGTGGGTGGTGTATATAAATGTGCTGGTTGCGATCGAAGTATGCATGCCTTTTGTGGCGTGCATCTTGGTGAAGGGTATGGCTCAAATTCAATCGGTTACTGCCTGTCTACAGATAAATGCCAGCCACCGGATGACATGTGAGAGTCTGGATTCACTAATAACAGACAGACAGAGCCAGGCGAATTGGCACAAAATGCACCTACAACATAGATAAGCTCACTTTGGTAAGAAGAAGAAAACATATAAGCAGACTGTATTATCAAATGTGAGCTCCAATACAACAAAAAGAATTAATCTAATTAACAAAATTAAGGGTGTCATCGTGCGTACAATCCAGAAAGCGGGATACAGCTTAGACCTATCATGGAAAGACAGCTATCGTAAGGATTTAGTTAAGGGGGCCGTGCGTGTAGCGCATGCATCATTCGGCGTCAGTATCAAAACAATAAGAAGGTTCATGGAGTCTGGAGAGAACATACTCAGTCAGTCTTATGAGGTGCATGCAAAAAAGAAATATCGAGAAAGGAGAGGAACACATCACGAGTTCGAGAAGCGTTTGATTGAGTGGGTCGGTAAATAAGGTTTAGAGAAGCTGGTTTTAGTGTAAGTCAGGGCTTGATAGTCACGAAAGGGGTATTTAATGAGAGCGCCTAGAATACCTCCTGGTGTGACCCATACTCCCATAGGTTGGACCCCGAACCTGATGGTATGAAACTGACCCAGACTCGTCTTACCTCTTTATATGTCCAAATATTTGCCAATCCCGAGAACTGGATATATAAAGAGGTGGTATGACTGTAACTCAGTACATACATTATTTTTTTTAAAAAGACAATGTATGTATGTACATTCTTACAATTTTTTTTAAAAACATAATACAGTCGTACCTCTTTATATGTCTACCTCTATATATATCCACTTTTCATTTGGGCCGACCCTTTTTGGGGCCCTGGAAGTCTGGAACTAATTTTTAAATTAGAAGCTCTCGGTTTAAATTTTTACTCGTCATCAATACTTCCTATTGATCCATCCATGAGTGGGCATGAGTGGGCCACGGGTACAATCTCAGTGAGACTTCATACAAAAGTATTAAGTATATGTACATATGTGTAGTCTACACTCCACACACAGTGAATACGCGCCACTAAGACTTACTTCTTCTTCATGGAGGATACTTCTACCTTATGTCGCTGTTGCGTGCAAGGGTGCACGATCACGTAACCGACATCAGGTGCTCACAAATATACTGGTTGCGATCGTAATATGCATGTCTTTGGTGGCGTGCATCGTGGTGAGGGGTTTGGATCGAATTCGATCGGTTACTGCTTGTCTACAGATAATTGCAAGCCACCAAATGATCAACAGCGAGCTAATCAGATGAATTAACACCACTTGCATCTGCAGTATCACTGTTAGATCAGACAACTTCTTTTTCTGACGCAATGCAGGAAGATGATACGACACAATTTACGTCTAAGCAAGGTGCATCGTCTGGGATAAATGAAGCGTCAGATACAAGAGTGAATAGACTGTCTAATAGTAATAAAAACAAGGTGTAAAAACAAACTGTGTTTTCAAAGGTGCGTGCCCTTCCAGCAAAGGGAGTTTATCTAACAAACGATGAGAAAGGTGTCGTCGTGCGCACTATCAAAAAGAGTGGATATGACTTGAGCAAGCCATGGAGAGAGAACTATGAGAGTGATTTAGTTCAAGAAGCCGGACAAGCTGCACGTACAACATATGGTATAAGTATAAAAACTGTACAGAGGTTTATGTTTGCTGGAGAGAAAATTATTAGTCTGTCTAACGAAGTGCATGCAAAAAGGATATATCGTGAGAGAAAGGGTACTATCAGCTTCATATCTGTGTTATGCACCTCACAGGTAGTACCTGACCCAGACGTGTCTACCTCTATATATGTCTTATTTTTAGCCCTGGCCGGAACCTGGACATATATAGAGGTATGACTGTAAAAATAAAAATTACAGGGTGTTTTCATAAGTAAATAAACGATTACACGGTGTTTTTTTTAGGAGGCTGTGCAATATTTATATTTTTTACTCGCGTTTTTCAAAATAACGAAGTTTCCAAATAGGGAAATTTAACCTAAAAAAAGGGGTGTGACTGTGACACCGAATCACCGATGAGTCCGTGATTGTGAGTCTGTGACTAAATAATAAATGCGTCACACTCTGTGCCCCCTGTGCTGCTGTGCGTGCCCTGCTGCTAAATAGTAAATACACAAATACCATAAATATTAAATACACGTGATATCACACAGCTTAATCAGTAGAATACTGGCGACAAGCAGACTACAGAAACGCTATAACAGAGTTAAAATTACAGAGCGTTGTTGTCAGTTCAAATCTAAAAGTCATTTCCAGAGCCGCACCCGGTGATTTTGACTTCCATCGTCATCTAGAAGGAAACTCTCAATCGGTATGCATCCCGCATTCAAACATGCCAGACGTATTAGGTACCCCGTCGCCGAGGGCCTAGGCTTCGCTTCACTCGTGGTCGCTGTCTCGGACCTCATGCCACATACGGCTAACGGTGTTCATCTCCAAGGCCCGAGTAGTTCGAATCATATTAACGCCCATCTCCTAGTAAGTGTTACAAATAGGATTACACAGCGTGCATTCAGAACCGCCCCAACATCTACTACTGCTACGTTAGAGGAAATATTTCCAAACTTCTCTCATACCACACAGAACTCAATAGCGCAGTGGTCTTGGTTGCGTTCGAAGACGTGAACAGGTACATATGAAGGTGAACCCTCTCAGATCAGTCCTACAAGTCTGATTGGCTACTGATTCGACTGTTGGCAGTATATATGCAGTATACTCGAATACGAGCCGCTGGCGAGTCCAGTAGACTCGGCTACACTATGGGTGATCATTCATACCTCCTGCATCGCTAGACACGTCACGCTCAGTGCAATTCCGACTTTGCCTCATGATGTCACACTTGAAGGATGTCTGGACTACCTGCGGCTCACACTGGATGTTAACTACCTAAGGTGGGACAGCGGCACTTTAGGTCAGTTCGCACACTATTCTCATATCTATAGTATTCCATATGTAGCAAGGCCCATGTGCAATTTACTAGATTACTTGTATTAACTGCTATACCAGTACTACAAGCTGCACATCGTTATGCCCTTTCTTCGTGTGAGCACCCTGCAGTAGATGATCAAAATTGGACTTGCGTTGTACGTGCCAGTCGTTTCCAAACTTGATAACTAGAGGAATGATTTGAAATGCTCCTGTCGATACACGGGACTCGAATTTTAGATCATGCAAAGTCGAAGAGCGCATTGATCTGGGTTACCTCGATATAGATATCTGAAAAGAGCAATTCAGTCGAGTGTGCGAAGTAGACTATTGATTGTTGTAGTGAATGTGATTTTATTGCTTTTAACACTGTATGACATCATCAGCTTCGGTGTACTTGATTATCAACCACCTCGGTATTACTTGGTGGTCAATCGAATCGGTACGCGACGGGAAGAAATATATTTAACCGAGGAAATAATTAAAATGCATACAAGCCGCCTGTCACTACTTCGACAACAAAACTCCTCAGAAACTCATACTGAGCCTGATTAATATGAGCATACCCATCAAATTTTGAAGATCTGCCTTTTCGAAACTTTGTGCTTTTAACAAATATAGATTCTCTCTTTATTTTGAATCAGCTAAATCGGAATATTATGCCATACTCTGCTAGGCTAACGACATACTAGAAAGGAACCGTAGGAATACATATGAATGTCCTATAAAATAATATTTAGAATGTCTTATTCTCAGCAAGAAATTTTGCGTAGTTAGTACATGTTTTACTTCTGAATATGCTATATACATATATGTATGTATATGTATATATTCATATATATATATATATATATATATATATAAATTAATATTAATATTAATATATATACATATGTATAGCTGTATAGTTGGATGGATACATGTGTGCATTGTATATATATGAAGATATATATATTTAGATACATATATATATATTTAGATACATATATATATATATATGTAGGTGTGTGTATGTGCTTTTATGTGCGTGTATGCCTGTATGTGTGTGAATGCATGGGTATATGTATGTGCTTTTATGTGCGTGAATGCCTGTATGTGTGTGAATGCATGGGTATATGTATGTGCATATTGGAATATTGGAATATATGTGTATGTCTCTGTGTATATGCATACATGTAGATACGGAAATATGTAAATATGTAGATATAAGTATATGTATATTTTTTTGAGAGCGTGTATATTTTTATTTGTATATACTTCTTTATATCAATATTTATAAATATATTATATATATATATATATATATATAATAAACGGCGCTAGAAAAAAACGGCGTCCGTTTTCGACCCAGGTTGCAGTTTTACATATGCATCCCCTCCCTGGAATCGTGCATCCACACTCAGTGAACACGACAACCAGGAACGGTCTCTACATATTTACAAGTTTCTTTGTGCCCCCCGGACTCAAATCCGCGAACGAACATTGTCAAGGCATAAGGGTTCTTGATCCATACCGAATCGTCCTAACTTAGTAGGATAACTCTGATAT